CCAACTTCACGATTGTTTTCTTGGGCCTTCTTTTTGTCCCAATATACTTTTGAAATAAAATATAGACCAGGACAATTCAATGGCGAAGCAGATTATCTATCAAGACAACCTATTTTGGATTATCATGAAAATAAGGTTTTACCTTTGATGAACTTTATATCATCAGAGATGTTGATTGCTGAACGGAACTCTCTCGATATCATTATTGGAGATGACATGCTAAGTGAAAATGGTATTGTTTATAAAAAGTGCAAAGATGGAAGGAAGAAAGTCATTGTTCCTAAAAATTTGCAATCTTATTTGATGAACAAAGTACATCAACAGTTTGGTCATTTAGGTTCAAGGAAAATGCTCGATCTGATTTCTTGTTTATATACATGGAGCAAAATGACTGATGATGTGGTTGAGTTTGTACAAAAGTGTATGATCTGTAATGTTGCGAAAACGAGAAGATGCAAAACAATTAGCAAATTAAGTAAATTTGGGCCAGCTGAATATCCGTTTCACATTATATCTATTGATACGATTGGTGGATTCAACGGTTACAAATCGAAAAAGAGTTTAATTAATATTGCAATCGATAATTTCACAAGATTCGCTTGGGCCAATGCTTCAAAAACACAGAAAGCAACTGATCTTATTGCTCTATTAAACAAAGTAATGGAAAAAGGCAAACCACAAATAGTATTAAGTGATCAATACAAATCAATGACATCTGGTGTATTCTACCGGTATTTAATTGATCATGATATAAAAATATATCACATTCCCAAATCATCACCAAACAGCAATGGAATGATTGAAAGATTGAATTCAACAATTACTGATAGAATCAGATGTAAAATGATAGAAAATGATTATAAATATGCTTGGGTGCACTACTTGAAGAACTCTATCGATGAATATAACAATTCACCTCATAAGTCAATCAAATTTACTCCAAGATATTTACTTGATGGTGTATTACCAGATTCATCCTTTAAAAACGCTCAATGGCCAACACTGGAAGAAGCCAGAAAGATTTGTTTTAATTTAAGTAAACAAAGTCATGATTACAACAAGAAAATTTACGATGAAAAACACTCAGTGAAGGAGTTAAATGAAAATGATATGGTTTATATGAAGAACCTTGAAGATATCAATTTGGGTAAATTAGACCCTCGTTTTATGG